AAAAAAAAAAAAAAAAAAAAAAAAAAAAAAAAAAAAAAAAAAAAAAAAAAAAAAAAAACGATACCCAATCCAAAGCGCTTTGACTTGATAATATTAAATTGTGGTCTGGATGTCTTCTCTATTTTAGGTGCTACAGCAAAAAGGCTCGCGTATGTAATACACGACGTCGTTTCGAATCTCGATCTTCGGCTGTTTTGTTAAATTGCGGCCGCTACTAAATTACATTAAGAGAAAGTCAAGGATCAGTATGTCGTGGGCAAGAATGACGGCAAACTGGAGGCACAACGACCAAGATCATGTTTAGGGTGAGAAGAAAAAACGCCTGTCGTTAACTCTGCAGTTTTCTTTCCTCCCTTCTGACGACAGACGAACACACTTGTACACGCTATTATATACAGAGTCACTCGTTGATTCCTACATTTTTATTCTTCTTCTCCTTATCGTCGCACGTGTAAGAAAGAAGACTGGGATCAGAGTATAAAAAATAATCAAAGAAAATTATCGATATTTTCTTGATACACACATTATTATTACTATTATCAATGATACGGGAGTGCGCTGTAAGCGCATATCCACGTAGAGACACTTAACGCACACGTTTACGTGATTATTTCATTGTTTATCTGTGGCTCTGTCATTATCTTTTTCTCCAGTGTTTATTCTCGCAATGTTCACTGTTTTTATTATTGTAATTATTATCATTACTATTATAAATTTTCTTCCATACGCGAGGAAAAAAGTGTTTGTTCGCTAAAACAAATTTTACCGAACCAATTTATCGATTAATTAATTAATTAAGTAGTTAGTTTTATCTTTTAAGAAAATTTTTATAACGAGTCGAATAGGATTAAAGTTTAACAAGATTTGACGATACTTGCTGAAATTTAATATCCAAGCTTCGTTTATTCGGAGTTGGACGAGTTTTATGAAACTTGAGTGAAATTTTCCAAATGGTACTAAACTACCACTATCCTTTTTAAATTTATCATTTAAAAAGGGGTAAGACGAACTCGAGATTGACGAGACCAGCAATACAAATGGAAAATGGTTTGAAATTGAGACATTTTGTGATGTAATCATTTGATTTGAAAAAAATTGTTTTTCTCCATTTTCACATTGCTGAAGAATTAATTAAATGCACATAATAAATTTGAAAAAGATGAGAGTAAAAAAAAAAAGTTTTCAAAAGTGTAACTTTAAGCGTTAATTAAACGCTGTCTGGTTTAAATTTAAACAAGATCTTTTTATATTATTGAAACTCACGATATAATTTATGATACAAGTCAAAGACTGTTTCTTGCATACGTTTGGATTACGTTGTTTACAAAAAAAAAGCTCTTGCCTAGTTTATTGCTAGTCATGGGTAAATAACTACCATGATTTACTACATGTTTTATACTCAAAAGACAAGTACAATGAAAATAAAAATTGTCATGAACGCTCTTTATAATAAAAACAGTCTCGTCTCTCTCCTATATGACGTACAACTGCACGTGTAAATGTATTGTAATTTAATATAACATATACTTGTACCTCTGCACTGCCACCGACAAACATACGTGAACTTACAATACGATTTTTTACTGTGTTATGTAAATTTAAAAAAAGATCAAACAGTGAAGCTTACAAAGACCAACGTATTTAAGCATAATAATATAAACGTAGTTCACGTGAGAGAAAATATATAATAACGTAGTCAAATAATTTGAATCGATAGGAAAGATTTGTTAATTAAAAATTAGCAATCATAGCCTTGAAGAAAAGTAGTGGTGATACGTATTTTGAGTTTAATCGAAATAGATTCACTTAATTTTAGACGTTTTGAAAATACCTTGATAGTGGAGTGCAATATTAACAATAAATTACCTACTGCGTTTACACTCGTATATGAATACATATACATAGTCATAGAAACATGCATAGATGATATTTATTGTGTACAAGCCATTTGCCGAAAAATTGTTTGCATTATCATCCCAATAGTCTACTGCAAAAATGGACTCAAGTTTACAGCAACTTGCTGTATATCTGATTCTGTTTTTGCAGCAGCCGCTGGTTTACTTACAATTTCTCAGCAAACCAAAAGGCAACAGTTTTCTGGTTTTTGAGAAACTTACCAAAACTACTTTTTTTTTTTTTTTTTTTTTTTTTCTTTCATTAGAACAGTTTGAAAAATCCAGATGCCATAACGCTGTCATATAGCGTTTGAATTAAAAAAATGATCATATTAATATTATTTAATAACCATATTTAATCAAAGTACAGACTACCTGATTCAGATTTTATTTGCACATTAGTATACACACGAATAATTTGTTATTGCTTGTCAGTAGTGTTCCGACATCTCACTCTGGTCATTACGTAAGTGGTATTTAATTTTTGTGATAAAAAAAAGCTGTATTCTTTGTACTCACTAAATAAAACTTTAATATATACATATACACAAAAGTTATGAAAGGCACACTTTTACAAACAGTGAGTAAACTACTTAAGTAAAAAGAATACAGTTCTTAGCAAATGTAGAGTATAGGTAATCTAAGTAATGACTCGATGCAGTTTTCAATAGAAAAAAATAAAAACAAAATAAACGCGCTCGACAATATGTATATGTAATAATTGCGTCTCAATATTAAAAAAAACAAGGGGAAAGAAAAGAAAGAAATAATTAAGTGTAAAAGATCTTTAAAAAAAAAAATATATTACCATCAATGTATTGTGGATTGCATATACGATTCGAACTCAACCAATACTTTTGTACTGTAATTGCGTAAAAGCAAGTCGTTTGCAATAAGTAAAGATGTACATAGTAAAATCGACAAACAACAGCTTCCACAGAGCGACGAAGTATAAAAGATTTATAGATGACTATAAAAATACGTATACTTATAATGGATTTTACAAATATATCTTCAACCGTATGCATGTATTAAAAAAACTCAAGGAGACACGAGACATGAAGTAAATGAAAAAAAAAAACATACGTATTGTTTGTATCAATTGTGAATTGTACTGAAAAAAACCGAATAAAAAAATAAGAATAAACAAACTTATTGTGTATGAAAAAAAATTTTTTATCTTCGTATATGATAACAAATATGCATCACTAAAAATAATTTTTTTTTATTAATGCTAGGGGTCAGTCATAAATATATCTTTTAAATTAATTAACATTAAAAAAAATTTATATAAACAACTGTTGTTCATGGCATACTTGCTATTGTTTTTAAGGGTTGGTCTAAATATGTTGCCAAAGCCTGTGCCTTTTCTCTCAAAAGTCCAAAGCCAACATTTTGTCTTGCACACAAACAAAGCAATAAATTTGCTACCTCTGTGATAACAACTTTTCCTTCCTGTAATGTTAATTTTTAATTAGCCGAGGGAAACGAAATCATGCCACTTTTCTTATTAAATGATAAGTATACATTAATAAAACTCACTGTGCACTCCATAAGAACATATTTAAGCTCGTCTCCCTTAAAAGCGTATCGCCCATTTTTTTCATATGCTGACCAAATGTTTGTTGTGATAGCAGCTGTTACTCGAGCGTCATTATCGCCATAACCGCTGTACGCTAGTAATCTTCCGTCTTTGTTGAGTAATCTGTAAATGCATTTTATGAACCGTGTTAGGTGTAAGCAATTGTTGATTCAGAGTAACAATTTACAACGCAACTTTCAACTATGAACACCAAATCAGTGATTGATCGGGAGTTATGTTAATAAACTTTGTATTTTTTAAGCAACGGCAACTCATTTAACTTGGAGCAATAGAACTGAAAGTTAGCACACAAAAATGAAAAATAGTCAGCATCGCTTATAATTACTCACAGCGTATTTTCAACACCTCCAGTGTTAGCTTGACTCAAAACGTGGGTGAGGGCTTTTGGCTTCAACATCGCTCGGTATTACAGTTTTGGTCACAGTGTTACGTCTGATCGTAATAACAAATTATCCAATTATCTTGGCAAAAAGTGAAATACTCTCTCTGATGAACTTATGTGTTTACAATAAGTGCGCTTTATTTTGGAGCAGAACGCAGAACACGATCGTTGCGTGAGTGCAAATTGTCAACATAACCACCCCCACCATCTACGCTCCATGTTCCGTTCCTCTCTTTTTATTTGTTACAGCCGCGAAATTTGAATAACCGTCACGACCGATGCTGACTTCAGAGCTGTTTTTCCGTGCCCAAGACATGAAATTTAGCAATGATAAAAAAAACATTTCGCAAAATACGTTAAATGTCAAAAAGTCAATGCCATATACCTAAAAACTACGTAAAATTCATTTGACACATAAAAAAAAAACACAAACGCATATTATGCAATGATGTTGCATACACGAACACATACACATGCAGCTATCATAGGAATATCTATATAGAGGAATTTGAAGTAATAGAGAAACGAAAAAAAAAAGAGAGAAAATAATAAGGGCGGGGATCACTGCGTGCGTCTGCGGTGGCATCATCACCGGAGAAGTGCCGATCGGAGTCGCTTGGTGGTATAGTGTAGCAAACGAACGAACAGTGGGAGCTCAGCTGCAGACAGTGCCAAAGCCATACGATTTCGGAGTTTACACAGTGCCTTTCATTAGTATACAACGTATTTTTTTTAGTATGACTTCACACTCTGGTGTTTAAGTGGGTGCACACATAAATAATTGATCAGGCGTCGTTTTAGTTCCATACAAAAAGGAGTTTTTTTTATTCATCAAACATTTGCGCGTTTGATTTCGCTCGTGCATTTCGATTGCCTATGTAAGTAATATTTTATAGCACCTACACAATGTATCATCAGTGCACTGTTCAGTTGTTCACATGAATACGCACACACATCTTTCTTGTGCTAGTTTTACGGTTTTACCACGTACGTAGGGGTACACTCACATACACACACATATACTCGTAAAACGAATACCGACTTGAGAGAGGTTGAAAGAAAGTATTACAAATCTTGATAAGTATAAGTACAGTTGTGCCGTTTTTTTTTTTTTTTTTTTTTCTTTCACGTTACGCCGTCGATATAATATGCATGCGTGGTCGTGACATAAAAATCTGCCGGCTTATTAAAATTTAACTCTTGCGATGAAATTTTACGTTAGCCGATGATTTTTTTTTTATATTTATTCATTATCACGTTTTATTTACAAACGCTGAGTCATCAACTAATCACGCAACTCGCGGTGTGCGCCTAAATACTCCGAATACTTATCACAAGAATGCACGATAAACTTGTACACACGTACCTACTTACACACTCTAAAATATACTACCACGTTTCATTTTACCTGTACATACAGAAATCTGTGCACAGCACATTGTGCACCAACTATTCCGTTTTAGAATCTAGGCATAGTGATGAATTTTTTTTTTTTTTTTTTTCAATATAATTGTTCGGATAGTATATTTACGACTCGCATATGCAAGCGTTGGTATGTGCATGTTCTTGAGAGCTCGCATAAGATACTAAATCTTATGTTGCTTAGGAATATGCGTGAGTCCCAATCGTTGGCAGTTGCTCAAGTATTTAATTTTCAAAATAATGAACATTTGCATGAAAAATACGCGGCCAGTGAATAAGTGGTTTTTTGCTCCCTCGTTATTATAATATACATTGTCACCAGACAGAAAAAGAATGTATAACATTTCTCCATTTCTGTTATAAATCTAAGTTTAAATGTTTAGGTATATAAACGTCGTCTGATATAAATAAAATGAACGTAATCGATTTCTAAGAATCACTCGAGTAATTAACATGCGATTAAACTCAAATTTGGCGTGTTAACCATTGTCTTTGTATAAAAACGTATTATTAGTAGTTTCTTCATCATGGAGAAAAAAAAAAGAAAAAGATGTAAAAAGTTATAAATCGCACGCCTTATTGGCGTTTTTGTCTAAAAAAAAAAAAAAAACTATGGTTTGTTAATCTATATAACTCTAAGACGCAAAAACTGAAAACCCATTTTTTTTGCAGTTAAAAAAAGTTAATTAACACGACGCGAAAACGCGTTGAGGAAAAAATTTTTAAATCTCTAAAAAAAAAAAAAAAAAAAAAGAAAAGTTGATCAACGTGTTCCATCAACGACACAATAACTGTGCCAAACTAAATAATCGTTGTACGTCGCAGCATCTTACTTTTTTCTACGACTATAGCTCAAAGTCCTCCGATTGTCTAAATACACAAACGCGTTGTGTCTTGCATAAAAAACGTGTGCTGTGCGCTATCATTAACAACGAAAACAACGGAAAATTCTTTTATGATACAGCATCTTATGTTATTCATTGTTAATTGGTAAAAAACTGTGCCAGCAAACGCGCGCGAACGTGTGTATGTATATATAGCCGGCACCCGAATATCGGATTCGAGTGCACGATTCACTCGACTGGATACATATATATATATATATATATATATATATATATATATATATATATATATATATGTGTCACACATCACTAGATTATAACGTACAGATGACGGAGATTTAACAAACACGATGCACATCCGTCAGCAGCAGCACCCACACGCTTAGCCTTTATATATATATATATACGGTCGCGAGAGATAAGGCCAAAGTACTTTCGGGCTCTCGTATAAATCAGCAAGCAGTTTAGTACAGCCGCGGAATCTACGCGGTTCGCGTCAGTGAGGCTCCATTGCCTCGTCCTACTTGGCAATACACGTACACACACGCGCGCGCACTCGATTGAGAGTATATATATATATAGTCCTAGACGCACGTGCAATTAAATCATCGTACGCGGAGAAATAACAAACAAACGAAAAAAATGCTGACTCGGCTTGCAGAGCGTTGCAAACGTAGAGCGGAAGCGAAAAAGCGCAAGGCCGCCCTCGTGCTGCCCACGATGGAGATGATGCAGCAGCCGACCGTAGCCTCGGATGAACCGTGGAACGAGACAAGGAAACCTAAAAAATCTCCCATAGCCGACGACTACGAAATAAGCGGACGTGTCTTGGGCCTTGGCATTAACGGCAAGGTTGTCCAGTGCTTCGACAGAAAGACCGGGGAAAAGTACGCGCTCAAGGTAAGCTCTCCTCTATTTTTCTTCTTCTTGTTTTTTCTCCCTCTCTCTGTTACTCACCTATACATACGATACCTATGCAGCTTCCTCGTTTTTATATCGACATGATTCATCTTTTTTTTTTTTTTCCTCTCTCGCGTTTTCGTTTCGTTTGGGCCGAGGTCACCGTTTCTCATACCCCCGTACAACTTATTATAATATGTATACCACGATGCACCACCGCATGGTAGACCGTAAATTTGCGCGCTTATATAGCTGCAGCTGCAGTCGTTTTAACGATCGATAAGCCGCTGCTGCAGAGTATTTTTTTTTTTTTTTTTTTTTTTTTTTTTCTCGATAGTTGCGCGTACATCTTACTGATTGAATTGCAGTTGACGATGAAATTTATATAATACAAAACAATCCATACCCCAGTTACGATATACTTGGGCGTTCACGCTCGTGTTTATCTATACACATGCACACATCATAATAAAAGAGCGACCGCGTATATACTCTATATATATATATATGCATACAAGTATTTTAAAACAACGGCAATTAACGGAGTCTTTTGTGTTTAGTTGGTCATCTATTTAAGTATACCAATATATATATGTATGTATCATACGAAATGTGCTCGTTTTTGACATCGGACGGAATCGAGGCGCTGATTCAATGACTTGCGATGCTCACGGATTTGATAACAGATATACAAGTGTATATTACATGCCGTCATTTTCTGGGTTTGATAAGGTTGCAAAAGGCATGATAATATAAAATCGATACACGTAATCGGAAAATCAACGTTAAACAAAGTTTCTTGCATGTATCGATTGTAATGAGCTAAACCGCATGCGTGTTTCGAAGCGAGAACGAAAAAAACCTGTGGTATAACAAAAAATAAAAAAATAAAATTTGTATATACCTTCATCCGGGGTCGGCTGAGAGTGTTGGCTTTTAAATCCTGCCAAACTCTCTCGAGAAAAAAGTTACTCGTTTTTCCTCTTTTCCATGCGTTTGGTGGGTAGTAAAGAAACCCCAATCTAATCTTAGCCGGACAGTTAAACTATACGCTTATACAGTATAGGTACATGTGTGTGTACACAAGCGCACGTTTATACGCACCCTCGTATCTTTTTTTTTTTTTTTTTTTTTTTGCAAGACTCGCGATCGAATCGAAAAAAAAAAATCTGCGGTTGTGATGGGCCAAGTAATATGGGGAGGGGAGGATGGCAGTAAAAAAAAAGTATAAACAGGTATCACCAGAAAGAGCGTGATACATTCGGGGGTGCATTCGTCGTTGCTGCGGCAGTGTGTTACGGCAGTGGCTTGACACATAAGAGGGGGGGGGGGGGGGGGAATCGTTCCGG